GGTCTCGGACTTGTTTAGTTTTGTAGAACAGATATTGCGCAATCTACGTGTAAATTTAGAACAAAAATTTTATTTACGATCCTGTCCGCGGTACTGCCGGATATTTTGTCCGAGAAGGTGCACTACCTTTCAGATCAGTTTTAAGTCGTTCGATGACCCCATGACTTTACTTCAAAATGGTGAAAACCAGACATCTCTAGCTCATTCCGATCAAACGTTATTTGAAAAATATCGAGTCAACTTTATTTTGAAACAAATAGTAGTCGTAACTGATTCATTCTAAGGAAATCGTCCTGTAACCTGAGAAAATGAAAGCCTGTGTATATATGTTAACATATCGGAGCGTAAAAAGATATGCCATTTTAGTTTTTTATGAAATGCTCTGATGAAATGACCCTACATGCTGAAGCAGAACAACAGAGATAGGTCTTTGAGAAAGAGGACCGCAAAGATACGCGCAGAGACTTGTCCAACAGTTTTTCCGTTTTTTCTTTCTCTTAAAGCGTTGAGATAGAATATCATAGAGATCCGGCTGTTTTTGAATCGAAAGAGCAAAACGTCCAGTACAAAAATGCACTAAATTGTTAAAAAGTTGTAAAAAAAGGTGAAGAGAATGGCAGTACTACACTTGTTGAGTTCTTCTCGTTTTACCAGAAGCATATATTACTTATGTACTTGAATATATGCCTGGATCCAAAAAAGATATATATACTTATCATACAAGAAGATTATATATCTTTACCATATCTATATCTTCTGTGGCGTACACTCTTCGAGACAAAAAAATAAAAGAAAAATGTATACGTCTTATTTGCATAAAACTATACTCTAAAAAAGAAGCGTCGTGTACAAAACTCCAAGGGTTTCCTAATGCGTTTAGGAAATGTTACTAAACCCATAAGAGTATTTGAATCATTCTTAAAAACCTAAAAGGTCGTTTGAAGGGTTTATTAGTCTTACTGAACGTTAGGGTTTTTTAAACTACGGTTTAGCAAAATAATTAGGGTTTTTTCTGAAGACTGAAAGGTTTCGCGAAGCACGTAAAAAATCCTTGGAGTTTTTCTTTTTCTCAAAAAACTCAATAGAGTGTTTTACTAAACCCGTGCAGTTTTCCATCCAACCTTGTAGGGTTTTTGAGTTTACTAAACCTAAACTCAGGGGTTTAGCATCCAAGGGTTTCTTACAATTTCGTCAACAAGTATATTGGTTTTTCATTCCTCTGAATCATCCGAAACCCTTGAATGTAGAAGGTATTTCCATAAATATTATAATCGTAAAAAGGCTCTGAGTTACGAATTTAGTCAAGTTTTGGAGTGTTAGTCAGTGGAACGAGCTCAATATTATCTGTTACTTAAAACGTCTGACTTAGTGCACAAGCTTATCTGACTTCTATTATTTCTGATAGAAAATAGAAGTCATTCACAAGCACTCTTTGTTACGAAAAGGAAACTACGATTAAAAAACTGAGAATGATGCAACTCTATATATGACAGAAAGAGGGAATATATAGATCCCTAGATGTAATAAGAGCGTAGATATCTTAGTAATAAAGAAAAAACAGTCTGCCTTGATTCTTGAAGGACATACGGTGAAAATGACGTTTTTTCGTTCTGTGTTTTTCAGCAAAATGAATAATAAATTGTGCGTATGAGCGACTCACTCAGTTGACGGTAAGAGACAATAATCTTAAGAAGTATTAATGATGTTTATTCCAAGTTTGAAAAGGAACTCCTTGCTTTATTAAGTTTGTTCCTTGTATTTCGTAGTGTTTCTCCATTTGAGCTTAAACATGAGTTTTTATTTTTGTTTTTTTCTAGATTTCAAAATGATTGACCCTCGTCAATGGTCTACATGCCAAGTTTTATATTGGCTTAAAAAATTTATACAAGATGAATCAGTTTTAGAATCATTTGAACGTACGTGTGGTTTTTTATTTTATTCTTAGTTCTATTGACCATACCTTCTTAAACAAAATTTAGTGTACACGATGACATCCAATCAGTTTTCTTGCTTGATGTGCTATTTTTTAGTTAAGGATTTATTTCTCTCATCACATATTGTTTATTCTCAAATATTTATATTCTGTTAATTTTTTTGCGTTATTTTCAAAGAAAAAGAATAATAAATTAATGTCTTTGATAAAGATTCTTTCGAAATCTGTTGATTAATTTTATTTCGGACTTGAAATAAGCTAACTTGTTTTCTTTCGGATAAAACTTGATTAACATTAATCTCAGTTTTATATAATATTGATTTATTTCAAGAATTGCATTGATTTCTCTTCTCAGAAAAAAGTAAACTGAAGTTTTACAATTGTTTTCCTTTAATTCCTCCACTTTCACCCATTCTGAGCCCTGTAATAGTAAACTAAACCATCTGTCTGATATGGATACAAAATTTAGCACTACAAATGTGTTTTAGGTAAATGATTGTGATTATATTTCGAAGAGCAATAAAATTTATAGTTTAATACCTTGTAAGAAATATATCGATATTCAGAACTTTTCTAGGCCGATCGCTTTAATATCTTCGATCTGATTTTTAGAACGGTTTTTAAACTTTTCTTTATTTTTAAATAAGTCGTGAATGCGACAAGTATTAAGACACTGCTTTCACCATAGTATAGATAACACTTCGAAATCTCTATTTGTGTAAATACTATAACTTTAAAGCTGTCACTATAGTCCATGGGGTCCAAAAACTTTGGATTCGAATCCTGTTTATTGAATATTTTCAAAACCAAGCCTGATTGCTTAAATTTTCTGGGTCCAAACTGAACATGGACTCAAATTGCACTCTTGGTATTCAATGAAGTGTGTTAATTTACACTGAATGGCCGCTCTAAAACATACCCTCAACATTTCATAAATGATATTGATGGTGGTCTCACAAGAATTAAGTTATAATTGACTCTTTTTCAAGAGTGGTGTCCATTGAGTCACACTCGAATCCGACCGATAGGAAGTTTTCAGACTCGTACCCGATGCGAACCTATTTCTGAGACCAATCCGACAAACGGTGCGGTCACTCACCCAGCAAGTATCATGCATTTTCTAAAGGTGATGTTTTGGTCTGTGGTCTGACGTTTCAGTGCATCTGCTATAGTGACATTGATGCACTTCATTAAGAAAAGGTGCGCCACAAATTCATTGGGTGGAATTCTCAAATTCAATCAGAAAACCTAAAAGTTTTTATCTGCAAAAGTCAAGTTTTTCTGATGGATAGCGGTTATCGAGATATTCGCTAAGGGCGCTACTTTACTACTGTATTTTTTCGACGTAATGTGACGTCCTCAGCGAATATCTCGATAACCGCTATCCATCAGAAAAACTTGACTTTTGCAGATAAAAACTTTTAGGTTTTCTGATTGAATTTGAGAATTCCACCCAATGAATTTGTGGCGCACCTTTTCTTACTGAAGTGCATCAATGTCACTATAGCAGATGCACTGAAACGTCAGACCACAGACCATTTTGAAAAAGTGTGCAAAATTCTGTATGTGATGGCCAAAGATATAGCAATCTTTCAGAAGTATTAAAAGATTAAACCGATATAACTGATACAGTATTTCGTTTTTTATTTTTTCTATAGGCAGCCATCTCGTATTTTGTCACTACGAGTGATATATATGATCTTCACCCAAATTCATTGGGTATTGTGTCAACCAATGGAAGAGGTGCCATCCATTTTTGTGGATTACGGACCGTAACTATGATCACCCACTTTAATAAATGAGAATCATCCACTTTTCTGCATCATTTTCGCAACCAAACATCGCAATAGTCACTCAGGGAAACAAAACATGTGGAGTAGCTTTCCAGTTTAAATATAGCAGAAATTTGCCAAAAAATAACTGTTTCGTTAAATAAATAAAGTTTTTACATTTAGATAAGGAGAAGTCATGCATAACCTATGCAAAAATATTTTGCTACTGTTAGGAGCGAGATTGTGCCAACCTACTCAAGAAAACATGGTTTTCATTCAAAGATGCTCATGTGGGTGGTGATTTTGAGCGTTTTTGGAATTGACCATTGGTCTCTAACTTGAGTTCTTTTGTTCTGAATAGAAATTCCAGAAAAAAGCAAAACATTCTTAGTTTTACAAATATACAATTTGAAATGTCTTCTACTCTTTTTCAATCAATATGAACTCTTGTTAAAACGGAGATTGAATATTATTTGATTTTGTTTCGAAATAAAAGATATTCAAAATACTGACTCAAACAATTCTACGAGAAGTTTTATTTATTTTCTTATTATAACCCAATAGGATTGTTAGTGCGATTCAGGATTAATTTTGTTTTCTTTTTTTAAACAAGTTATTTTTCAACTTAAATGCTCTGTCAGATGATACATGTTCACGTTGTCATCAAAGGCTGGATAGAAAAGAGCTAAACATGGAAAAGAAGCTGATTGGTTCAATTCGTCAAGGATAAGCTAAGCGTGTGAATGTAGCTTATCTCGACCTTCGGTTCGTATCTGACGTGTTTATATTATATGCATATACTTGTATACATGAACTTTATGCTATTGTTATTGTCCGCCATTACTGTGTGTATTGTCATGATGAGCCTTTATGCTGTTGCCATGTTTGAGTACGACTCATTTTTTATTAAAAAGAAATATGACATATCATAGATACTAGATAATAGTTTATCACCATAATATTTTTTTCTCGTGCGCTCACTCTCATTGTAGATGTAGCCACCGTGTCTGCATTTGTCTTTGATTGGTACTTTTCACCACGCTTCATTTAATCAGATCACTCAGGGGTGTCCCGAAGGTGAGTTGTGCGGATTGCGATCCCCTCTCAATAAGCGAAGGTTTCGTTCTTTTAGTCGACGGTTTTTCAAAATTTTTTGGGCAATTTTAAAAGCGTTTCAAGAAATCGTCGACTCCCCAATATTTTTCTTTTCGGAACACTCCTGAGATCACGTACTAGATATCCAAGTCTAAAGTTCAAATATTGTTCTTTTCGGATTAACATCATAATTAAGCGCAATGTCAGTGGTAAATAATCTTGTTTTGAACCATTATTAAAATCTATTTCTATGAAATATTTGTTTAGAAAGAAAAAGGTCCACCTAAATTAAGTTCCATCGAAAAGTTTGCACTCAGTAGTGTTGCTACTGCTGTTTCTACTGCTGTTTTATCACTAACACCACTTGCACCTATTGAACGTATAAAATTACTCCTTCAATGCCAAGGTGAAATGCTTAAACAAGGTACCATCACTCGACCATACAATGGTGCTATTGATTGTATCATGCAAACTTTCAGAAATGAAGGTCTCTTGTCATTCTGGCGAGGTAATCTGACCAATTGTCTTAGACACATTTCCAGTCAGGTTTGTGCGGATTGGTAATTGATTAAGAAAAAATCAATTGATGATCATTTTTTTAGCCTTTGAATTTTGTCCTCAAAGATAAAATCAAACCAATGTTTAAACAAAATATAAACGATCCATATATGGTGAATTTTAGTAAAAATATAGCAAGTGGTAGTTTAGCTGGTGCATTATCATTATGTTTTCTTTACTCACTTGATTATGCTCGTACACGGTTGGCTACTGATGTTAAAAGTATAAAGGAAGGAGTTGGTGAACGTAAGTACAATGGTCTTGTTGATGTCTATAAAAAAACATTGGCTACCGATGGTATTGCTGGTCTTTATCGTGGTTTTGTTGTTTCATGTGTTGGTATCATTATTTATCGTGGATGTTACTTCGGTTTATATGATACATTAAAACCAATTTTACTGGGTCCTGATGCTGGTTTTACGCTTTCATTTTTACTTGGTTATGGTGTCACAATTACATCAGGTCTTATTTCATATCCAGTTGATACTATTCGACGACGTATGATGATGACATCAGGTCAAGCAGTTAAATATAAAGGTTCAATGGATTGTATGTTCCAAATCTTACGAAGTGAAGGTGTTATGGCTTTCTATAAAGGAGCTGGTATCACTATTCTTCGAGGTACCGCTGGTGCTGTTGTCTTAACTGGATTCGATAAATGGGTACAACTTGGTAGCATCAAAGTTGATACTAGTGGTAGTGGTTAAGGGAAAAGAATATCTCAATCAGACTATCCTCCACTTTCCGTCTATTTCCTTATAACTAGAAAGCCGCTCTTAAATGTTGTCGCCGTGTATTGTTTCTATACATGTACCGGGTGTCCGGAAATTCATCTACCAAAAAGAAAATTTAATATCTCGGTCATTTTTCAACTAAATCGAACAGTTTTTTTTTTAAATGAAAGAGAAATGTTCAAAGTTTTATCTTTGTTCCAGATCAATAACATGTCACATTCTTTAGAAACTAAAATTCAAGTAGTTATCCTAATGGCGAAATATGAGTCTCCTGTTATGATTATTCGTGAACTACGACGCCGAGGAACGACAAATATTCCAGAAAGGCATACAGTAACATCAATATACTAGAAATTCCTCGAAACTGGCTCGGTTGGAGACCGTGCTCATACAGGAAGACCCTCAACAATAACAGAAGATAAAGTTCAAGAGATTCAACAAATTTTGGATGATGAACCTATGAACAGTGTTCGAATTGTGGCACCATCGAATCTGCGATGAAGTCTCCCAAAGTGAACGTTGGTGTGCGATGTCTAACAAGCAAATCATTGGCCCATACTTTTTTGAAGATGAAACAGTCAATCGACAAAACTATCTTCAGATGTTAAAAAATTATTTTTTTCCAATTATGCAAAGAAAAAGACTTCATAATAAGATGATTTTTCAGCAAGATGGCGCGCCGCCGCATTTTTCCAAAGAAGTTCGTGCATGGTTAAATGAAAAATTCAATGGAAGGTGGATTGGCAGAGGTGGTCCAATATCTTGGGCACCACGCTGTCCAGACTTGACGCTACTTGATTTTTTTCTATGGGGATACATCAAACCAAAAGTATACAAAACGAAGGTCAACGATATTGCCGAACTGAAGGAAAGGATTGAAGAAGAAATAAAAGGTATAAAAAAAGAAACATTGGAAAATGTTTTTGATGGTGTTGTGAAAAGACTCAAATTATGTATCGATGTAAACGGTGACACTTTCGAGCAATATCTGTAAAAACTTTTGGTACCAAATAAAACTTTGAACATTTCTCTTTCATTTAAAAAATATTGTTCGATTTAGTTGAAAAATGACCGAGATATTAAATTTTCTTTTTGGTAGATGAATTTCCGGACACCCGGTATTCTAGTGCTGTCCTCTGTCCTCAGTTAATTTATGTTAAGATGTAATGGGTTCGCCTCCTTCTTATAATTTCTACTGATTTTTTCAACATTTCTTCTAAATAAATAAAGTTTATATCAACTAGAAAGCGTTTTTTTTTGTCATCTTGTCTATTGCGTACGCATGAGGGTAATTTTTGTTGAAAACTTGCGATATATCGAGATATTGTGCCAAATGTGCTGAAATATCGCGATAATGAGCAACTCTGTCGCGATATAAAAGTGAGTACAGTTTATCGCAGTCTCTCGATAAAACGCAGTAGGCAAAACTATCGCGGTATAAAAGTCATTTAGCGTTGTAAATAGCAGTATGTCAATAAACCGCGATTAATATTTATCGGACTTTATCCTGATAAAAGTACTATCGTTGTATGTGTGATCTTTATCTCGAAAAGCAAAA